CTGGGAATCTCCTGGTGCGTGAGCAACAAAAATTGATCTGAAAGTGTGGCGTCCTCTCGTTCTCTTCGCTTTCTGTGGGAGCTACAATCCCGAGCTGCTAGTGATCGGTCATCTTGGATCTCTCTCCTGTTCCTCACATTTAAAGCATACCACTTGCCAGAGCAGGGCCTTTGCTTTTCACCTGGGCTTGCTTCACAGGCTCATGCCTTCCCTTTGTCTGTCCCCCATACCCCTCACTCTTCCCTCCCTCCTTCTCTTTCTTCCTTTTTAGAGGTCAGAGGTGAGTCTTCATTGTCAGGATCAGTGGGTGATTCCTAAGGCTGCACTTCCCTTTCCAGTGTCCTTCCATGCTTAACTCTCCAACTAGTGGAAAACCATCTATGGCTTGCATTTAGTCTCATCACCAGTAGAAGAACCTGTCTGTCCAATATTGTAGAAGAATCCGGTTTTGAGAAATAGGTATTTGAGCAGCTTAACTCAGTTCAGAGGAGGTAGGGCAGCAAAGGCCAATGGGGAGAGCTTTGTCCATGCTGGAGGAAGGAGACCAGATCTCACCCATCCTGGTTTCCAATGCTTGGCTTAGGTCAGGAGCCCTAAATGTTTGTGGAAGAAAATATTATAAGAGGAAGGGAATATTCAATGAGGCCACAGCTATCTTGGGCCTTTTAAGTGAAAAAATTGGGGTAAACTCAGTGAGGTCAAATTGGCTTTCCTTTATTTCACTTAATTAGGGGTTGTGTTGAAAACTCAAGGGAGAATCACTGCATCCTTTAGCAAGGTGGGGAGAGGTGTTGTGCCTGGAAACAGTGCGGCAGCCTGAGGGCAGGTGCAGGGGATGGGGTTGGGGGTTCGTGGAGGTGTCACACTGGGCTTTCCTAGCCTCCTGGGGCAGCCTCAGCGCTGAAATTTGGGAGGTGAGGGACAGGACTTGCTGTACTGTGCTAAGAGGGGTGCCAAGGCTGGGAGAGCCACGCAGGGTGCTGGTTTGCTAACACAGCAGTGACTCTTAGGCACTGTTTTCCTTCCCTCTTCTGAGCTGGAGGAACTGCCTGCCTGTGTGGAGGTCACTCAGAAAGGCCACTGCTGTGTCTCCTTGAGGCTGCAGCGCTTTCCTTCCGCAGTTTAGCCCATGGGCTTGTCGCTTGCTGTCTGCAGCTGGAGGCGGAATGACCCAGTCGGTGCTGATATCTTTCTGTGTTGCAGGGGTGGGCCGCCATCGAGTGGATAATTGAACACTCTGAAAGTGCTGTGAGCTAAGGAGGCCTGCGCCTGCGCTTGTCATAAATGGCGGTGAGTACAGTATTCACTCACAGAGGGGCCTTTTAGCCTCTTGTGACCCGCGTGCATGGTGTGCACTGCGAGGGGACTCTGGAAATGTGCAGCTGCTGGCGGCTGTCCAGCCCGGAGCTCCTTAGTCGCCCGCGGTGACACAGAATCACTGGGTTCATCCTCTTTCTTTTTCATTCCTTGCTTCGTGGCAGGATTTAGATTTCGAGGAAGCTTGAGCTGCGGCCCTCTGGGTCGGACGGAGGCAGCTCAGCCTCTCCAGCAAGCCGCCGTCTGGTTCAGTTGCCGAGGCGACCGCGGTGACTGTGCAGAGTCTGCGCGAGTGGCCAGGCCTGTGCCGACGGGGCGCTGCCCTTTGGGTGCATCCGCATCTGCTGCTGTGAGCAAGGCCCTGTGCCCACCTCTTTGCTTGCTCCAAGCCAGTGCACGGCCATTTCCTTTTAGCGGTGGAAGCCTTTTCCGATGTTTCCTTGAGCTTCACAAACGTTCCCTGGCTTCCTGGGCCGCCAGCGACTGGACTTCGAGTGGCCCTGCCCCGACGGTGGGCGGTCACCCCGCTCCCAGGGGAGGATGCGCCACCCGCCGGCGGCTTGGGCCCACGGCCGCGCTGCACTGCTCTGGGCCGCTCGTCCCCTTCTTTCCCGATCTGTTTCTGGCGTGTGTGGCTCCGGGCGTCCTTAAGAACTTCGTGCTGATTTTTTCCGAGTCACTGAAGCCGCGCTTTGCTCTCCTTGAACTCAAGCTGGGGTGGTCATGGGCCTTGCCTCCTTCATGGCCGCACCCTGAGTTCAGCGCACGTAGGACCCCGGCCTGGCGTCTTATGTCTGTGTGCTGTGTGTGCTGTGTGCGGTGTGTGTGTTGTGTGGTGTGTGTGTGGTATGTAGTGTGTGGTGTGAGTGTGCTGTGTGTGGCGTGTGTTGTATGCTGTGTGTATATATGTGTGGTGTGTGTGGTGTATATGCCCTGTGTGTGATGTGTATATGTGTGTATGGAGTGTCTGTGATGTGTATATGTGTGTGGCATGTGTATATGTGTGTGGTATGTGGGGTGTGTGTGGTGTGATGTGCTATATGTGTGGTGTGTATATGTGTGGGAGGTGTGTGTGTGTTCTGTATGTGATGTGTATATGTATGTGGTATGTCATGTGTGCATGTGTGTATGATGTACATCTGTGTGATTTGTGTACTGTGTGTGGTGTGAATGTGCGTGTAGTGTGTGTGCTCTGTGTAATGTGTATATGTGTGTGTGATGTGTATGTTTGTGGTGTGTGCATGTGTGTGATGTGTGTATGCTGTGCATATTTGATGTGTGATGTGTACATGTGTGGTGTGTGCAAGTGTGTGAGATGTGTGAGGTGCATGTGTGTGTGCTGTGTGTGCTGTGTGGTATGTGTGCATGTGTGTATGATGTGCATGGATGTGATGTGTAGTGTGATGTGTGTATGGTGCATGTGCATGTGTGTGATGTGTATGTGATGTGTATGTGTGGTGTGTGCATCTGTGTGATGTGTGTATGCTGTGCGTATATGATGTGTGATGTGTACATGTGTGGTGTGTGCATGTGTGTGAGATGTGTGAGGTGCATGTGTGTGTACTGTGTGTGCTGTGTGGTATGCATGCATGTGTGTATGATGTGCATGGATGTGATGTGTAGTGTGATGTGTGTATGGTGCATGTGCATGTGTGTAATGTGTGTGTGATGTGTATGTGTGTGGTGTGGTGTGTGCATGTGTGTAAGATGTGCATGTGGGAGATGTGTGTGTGGTGTGTCCTGAGTGTGGTTTGTGTTGTGACTATGGTATGTAGTGCGTCCTCCGCCCCTCTGCGGAGCTGACCCCTGGTGTCTCCGCAGATGCTTCCTGGAAGAAAGGAAAGAAGAAGGCGAGGAGGCCAGGAGACGATGAGCAAGTACGGGGCCGAGAGCGTGTCTGGCTGCGAGGGCCCGCAGGGCCGGGGAGGAGAACTGGGCTGGATTCCGGAATGGACTCCCCTCTCTTCTTGAGCGTGCAGCAGAGAGCAGTGCAGCCAGCCCTGCCGCCTGAGTGGATGGAGGGCACGAGGCCCTCGCCTGTGTCCCTTAGGGGTGACACCTACCGCCCTGCCTGTCGCGGTGGCCCAGGCCCTTCTCTCCCTGCAGGTGGCCCATGCCGCCCCTGGCCGCCCACACTGTCCTCCACTCAGGTCCCTCCGCAGACGGTGGCGGGTGCGCGGCCTTCTGGCATCTTCCGGTTCCCGCCCCACGTCCCGTCCTCCTGCAGATCAGCAGGCAGCTCTCCTGGGCCTGCGGCTGCTCCAGGCCTCCCATCTGCTCCTGGCCTCCGGTGGGCGCTAACTGTGGGGCTGCGGCCTGGGACCGTGGCTTTCCTCTCGGCCCCCAAATGGCTTTCCTTGAGTTGCTCAGCCTCTCCACACGAGGCTCCTCATGCGGGCAGAGGGCTGGGGTCCAGGGATCCCCGCGCCCTTTCTGCAGGATGTGCCCGGCCCCTCCAGCCTGCCCCTGCCCTGCCCTGGGGACAAGTATCTGAGGTTTGCGTCCCTGTTTTTCTCCCTGTAGTTTTGTGAGTGTTTCAGGGACAACGGCCAAAGGTCTTTTTTCCACCATCTTTAAATCCAAGTTGTTTAAAACAACATTAATTTAAAAAATAAAAAATAAAAGCAATCCATGCTTACGGTTTAAAAAGAGTTCAGGAGTCTGGAGTCCGTTGAAGGGTAAAGGCCTCCCCTGCTGCCAGTCGGCTCCTCTTTCACGAAGCTTTCCAGAAGTTTTGTGTGCTTATGAAAGTGTTCGTGTGGCCTTTCTCTTCCCTTCCTTTATTAAACAGAGATAGGCTCATGCCGGATAAACCGTTTCGTGTCAGTGTTTTTTCTGCGTTTAATCAGAGTCATCTTGCAAGTTCCCTCCGAGCGTAGCTGTGCGGCGCCTGCCTCACCAGTCCGGCAGGCAGCGGGGCCTCCGGCGGGGTGCTGGTGCGCGATCTCCCCGGGACGCAGCGCCCTCGAGCTCCCGCAGCAGCTCTGTTAAGTCCCAGCAGGAATGGTCTAGAACTTGTCACCTGATGGTCTGCTCTAGACGGAAACAAGGAAACATGGGATCTGGAAACCTCTGAAGCAGGGATGGAGAGAAAGGGTCGCACACTGGCTGGGGCACGTAGAGGTCGCTGTGTATTTTGGGGGGACGATCACATTTTTTAAGCGAGGACAGTTGTAAATGTCAGACACCAGCCTCTTCAAATCTTTGGTGACCAAAGTGGGGTAAAAACAAGCTCCTGCGTGAGTCGTGGTTGTTCTATGCCTTCCACTGCATATCTGTTTTAGGAAGTTTTCTTGAGGTGGTCAGTTCTTAAACCGAAGAAGTAGCAGTAGCTGATTTTAATTACTATACAGTTGTTTGTCTTCGTAACTTCTGTGTTGGTTGAAAATGGGTTCATTCTTTGTTTTGAAGAGGAGTCCAGCACAGTGATGGAAGGGCAAGAGCAGAGCTGGCGGATCCAGCCGCAGCCAAACGGCAGCCGGAAGCTGCCCTGCCCCACCGGCCAGAAACAGACCGAGGCGCCGACACGCTGCTTTGTCTGCGGAATGTGCATCTGCACGGAGGTGAATGTGGTCCGATAAGGCCGCAGGGAGCAGCGCAACTTTGATCGCTGGTTTGGGAAAACAGCGCAGGGCTCGGCCTGAGTGGCCCAGCAGTGCTTGGGGGGCACTGGAAGCGGCTTCCCTGGCCGGCCCGGCACTAGGAAAAAACGCCCCCTAGGGCGGCCTCCTGCTCCCATCGAAGCCCACAGGCCGTGTCTGAGGGCGCCCAGTGCTGTTTACACGCAGGGTCCGGGGACTCTTGCCAGCAGGAACGGCAGTGCACTTGCGGCCTCTCGGCCTCGCTCTGGAGTGCAGTAGTGGTGTGCGGCCTCAGCCTCCTGAGGAGCTGGGGCCACATGCGCAGGCTATCACATCTAATTTTTTGTTTTGTTTTGTTTTGTTTTTTAGAGATGGGGTCTCACTATGTTGCCCAGGCTGGTCTCAAACTCCTGGGCTCAAGCCATCATTGCACCTCAGCCTCCCCCAATGCTGGGACCACAGGTGTGTGTCATCGATTGGCGCCACAGCCTCTCCTAGAGGTGCCCCTGCATCTCTCGTGAAAAGGCAGAAAAGGGGCTTGCTCCTCCCGCCACACTGCTGTCCTTCCCCCATTTCTAATGAGTGCGGCTCCCATTTCCCAAACACAAAGCCTGCGTCCTGGTGACGTCTTCCTCCTGCCTTTTCCCTCGGGGTCGTTTGCACACCGCACCTTCCTCCAGCATCTTGGCTGAGTTCTGGGTTTCCTCACCTCGCTCTGCTCCATGCGCATGTCCCTGGTGCTGCCACTCCGTGACCTTGCCCGCATGTCTCATGTCCGTTGCGGAGGATGGGCTACGGGGCCTGGGGGCTGTGGGGAGGCTGAGTCCGGAGATCCGTGTCGCGCCCCGCCAGCTAGCACGTGGTCACTCTGCCAGGCTTGAAGGACACTGAAGGGATCAGAGGGGCCACCGCGGACGCCATCCTCCAGCCCCGGTGCAGCCCCCAGAGGCTGTGGGTCCCACTACCATCTTCACTGCCACCTCGTGAGAGGCCCAGGCCGGGATCCCCGCCAGAGCTGCCCCTGATGTCCTGACCACTGAAACCGGAGAGATGATAAATGCTCGTCACCTCCTGCGGAGTCGGGGTCGTCTGTTACTCAGGCAGTGATGGAGCGCCTCGCGCTTGTCTGCACAGTCACCTTCTGTCTAGACTCTCGCTCATGCTATCCCACTTCTTACACCGCTCCAAAAATATTCCTGTCATAAGGTCCCTTGATTAGAAAGCCAGGGAGGGTTCTCATCCCTTTTTGAAAAAAGTCAAAAGCAAGGCCAAGGCACCTGCAGACGACTGATGTGGCGGCAGTGGTGGCCCCTCCGAGCCCAACCGCAGGTCTTCTGTGGAGCTGTTCCTGGCTGGCGCCAGCCCACAACATCACAGCCCACAGTCACCCTTAACTCCTAGAGATTTATGTTGCCTTGAACTATTTTTTTTTTAACTATTAACATATGTATTTGACCAGCCTAGGCTCAAAGTTCTTCCGTGCGAAGGTCAGGTCCTGAGACTTCTCTAAGGGCTTTGGTGACTGGAGAACCGCCTGGAGTCAGAGCTGCCCAAAGGCTGCCCGAGCGCAGCTGCAGCCTCAGACCTCAGCTTGATGCCAGGCTAGTGGTTTCCCCTTAAGCAAATGACTGCTTTATTATTCCCAGGTTTTGCATCTGTAAAAGAGGCTGTTAATAGCATCAGTGTGAGAGTTGGGTGTGGGAGGAGAGAATGGGAGGATGCTTGCTGTAGAGTAAGCACTGGAAAACTGGCCATGGTCAGCCACTGAAAAGCAAAGTTTCTAAAACTATGTATTAATAATGACAAGCATAGAATAATGTCATAAAGTTTATTTTCATATTTTTCCTTTTTTATTATTGGCCAAATTCTCTTAATATGACAAATTTGGAAGTTTATTATTTACTTCAGCCTAACTGGCATATAAAATGATTAATCAAACTTTAACACACATTTTTGTTTTAATTTAAGAGGTACAAATGCAATTTTTTTGTTTTGTTTTGTTTTGAGACAGAGTCTCCCTCTGTCATTCAGGCTGGAGGGCAGTGGCACAATCTCGGCTCACTGCAACCTCTGCCTCCCAGGTTCAAGCGATTCTCCTGTCTCAGCCTCCCAAGTAGCTGGGACTACAGATGTGTGCCACCATGCCCAGCTAATTTTTATACTTTTAGTAGAGATGAAGTTTCACCATGTTGGCCAGGCTGGTCTCGAACTCCTGACCTCAGGTGATCTGCCTGGCCTTGGCCTCCCAAAGGGCTGGTATTACAGGCGTCAGCCACCATACCTGACCAAATGCAGTTTTGATACATGGATCTATCGCATAGTAGTGGAGTCTAGGCTTTTAGTGTACCCATCATCATACATTATAATGTATAACGTATAGTGTACATTATACATTAAGTAATTTCTCATGCCTCACCTTTCTCCCACCCTCGGAGTCTTCCATCGGGCATATGTTCTTTAGCCACTAATCCATTGATGTACATTCAGGTTATGTCTCTGCCATTGTAAATAGTGCTGCAATAAACAAAATTGCAGGTATTTTTTGATATGATGATTTCTTTTCCTTTGGGTAGATACCTAGAAGTGGGATTGCTGGATCAAAAATTAGCTGAGTATGCTGATGTATGCCTATAGTCCCAGCTACTCAGGAAGCTGAAGTGGAAGGATCACCTGATCCTGGGAGTTCAAGCTGCAGTGAGCCATGATCAAACCACTGCCCTCCAGCCTGGGCAAGACAGTGAGACCCTGTCTCAAAGAAGCAAAAACAAAAGAAGCCAAAAAGTTCCATACTGTTTTCCACAGAGGTTGTACTAATTTGCATTCCAACCAACAGTATGTAAGCATTCCCTTTTCTCCACATCTTTGTCAATAATTTTTTTGACTTTTCAATGATAGCCATTTTGACTAGCATGAGATGGTATCTCATTGGGGTTTTAATGTGCATTTCTCTGATGATAGTGATGTTGAACACTATTTTTTTGAGACCGAGTGTTGCCCTGTCACCCAGGCTGGAGTGCAGTGGTGCGATCTCTGCTCACTGCAACCTCCGCCTCCTACGTTCAAACGACTCTCCTGTCTCAGCCTCTCAAGTAGCTGGGATTACAGGCGCCTGCCACCACGCCCAGCTATTTTTTGTATTTTTAGTAGAGACAGAGTTTCACCTTGTTGGCCAGGCTGGTCTCGAACTCCTGACCTCGTGATCTGCCTGCCCTGGCCTCCCAAAGTGCTGGGATTACAGGCATGAGCCACCATGCCTGGCTGATGCTGAGCATTTTAAAATATGCTTGTAATTAGCTGGGTGTGGAGGCACATGCCTGTAATCCCAGCTACTTGGGAGGCTGAGGCAGGAGACTGCTTGAACCCAGGAGACAGAGATTACAGTAAGCCGAGATCACGCCACTGTACTCCAGCCTGGCGACAGAGAGAGAGAGATGGTCTCTAAATAAATAAATAAATAAAATAAAATAAAACATGCTTGGTGGGCTGGGTGTGGTGGCTTGGACCTGTAATCCCAGCATTCCAGGAGGTCAAGGGAAGGACATTTCTTGAGCCCAGTAGTTGAGACCAGCTTGGGCAAGGTGACAAAACCCATCTCTACTAGGAACACAAAAAATTAGCTGGGCATAGTGGTGCACCTCTGTGGTCCCAGCTACTTAGGAAGGGTAGTGAGAAGATCACCTGAGCCCAGGAAGTCAAGGCTGCAGTGAGCCGTGATTGTGTCACTGCACTCCACCCTGGGCGATGGGAGTGAGACCCTGTCTCAATAAAAAAGAAAATAAACATAAAATATGCTTTTTGGCCATTTATATGTCTTCCTTTGAAAAATGTCTATTCCCATCCTTTGCCCACCTTATGGGGCTTTTCTGCTGTTATTGTTGAGTTCCTTGTGAACTCTGGACCTTAGTCCCCTGCTGGTTGCAGAGTGTGCAAATGTTTTCTCCCATTCTGCAGGTTGTCTCTTTACTGTTTCTTTCTTTTGCCATGCAATATTAAAACTTGTATGATTGCTCTTAAGAGTTAGCTACCACACTTAAAAGAGGCAAGTAGTAAAAAAATAATGAGTACAAATTCTGAACTAATAAATACACCCTTTGCATTCATGAAGCAGCTTTGATGACAAGTCTGCAGCGTCCCTGTTCTTCCCAGTTTGTTAATGGGAAAAGCCAGGTTGGGAGGCAGACTGTGTATGTCACTCCACTCATGTTCTAGTGGTGGGTAGAGCCAAGAGGAAT